AAAAAAAAAAAAAAAAAAAAAAAAAAAAAATACAAATTGATCTTGAGGCTGGCAGAAATTTTGGGACGTTTAGATTTATAAAAATGAAAACTTGTATATATTTTAATATTTAACAAATTTAATAAAAATTACAGCTAGGTATTATAAATTAATTATAATGTCACAAATTAATAGGAAATTCAATAATCACGAATTATTTCAATTCAATTTCTTACAACGAGAGTTTCGTTTGCTTACGAAAAGAAAAATTATACTTCACTGTTAGTGGATCTACTTGTGAGAAATTTAAAATATGCAGAATCGTTAGAGATGCAATTAGATGTTAAAGTAGAAGGTGGATCATTGTGAATTAATTATCTTTTATTCTTCATAGTAAAAAGCCTAATTATTTATCTAAGTAAAATTATGATTCGTCATTAAACTGCGAATTATGTAATTACAAACATATATTGTGTCTATTGGGAAAATGTACAAAAATCTACAAAACACAGACAAGTATCGCAATATTCAAAAATAAAGTATAAAATAAAGTCCGAAGGGGAACATGTTTATCACGTATGATATTTAGGTGTTTTGCTTTTCGTACGACAGAAACTTTTTTGCCCAGATGTCAGTCTATTTGTTACTGTTAGAGGATGAAAATTAATTACTGCTAGCAGTGCTGTGACAGGTAATAATATCAACATAATATCATGAACAGTTAAGCCGAGTGAAATATAAATTAACTGCGACGGGAAATGCTGCATTTGAATATTCTAGAATATTTCATTCAACTCTGATTACCACTGATTTTCTTCTGATTTATAATAACGCTTTATGCGTTTAAAGCGTTTAGCTTCTGAAAATACGATAGATTTTGAAAATCAAAGTTTAACATGAACTTTTATCATCCCATTAACGCGTAATATATATCACCGTGAAGACACGAAGAGCAAAGTTTGCTTAGGATTTGTTCTCGGAAAGTTAAGGGAGCAAGATGTCAATTATTTCACGGCAGGCTCGTCAATGAAGAAATTCCTCGTAGAAAAGTGAGTAAAAGAAACTCTTTGGCCGATTGATCCAACTCGAACAAAAAGCAGCGCGAGTGAGGTAGAAAATGCCCGTGTCTAATATTCGCTAATGTTCAACTCGGCGAGATTGTTCTTGCGGCCGCGATAATCTCTCTCGTTCGTCCTCAAACTGTCCTTAATGGCTTTGACGCTTCTGAAAGTTCGAAACTTAAGCGGTAATGGCGGCCAGCGTAAAGCGAGAGTACCCGCTCTCGGGAGTCGTTTCACGCGGATAAAAGGACGACAGGGCCTGCGATTTCACGGTTCGTCGAGGCGATTTCTGCGGCCGCGAGCCTCGCCGGATCGTCGTGGCGAGCCAGTAAATCGCGGTTCACGATACCACGCGTATTGAAAGATCGCTGTTATCGTAATGCTGTACTTGCCCCTGCAATTATTACGGTGACGGAAACCACTTCCTTTTGCGAACCGTTCCTCTTTGCGAGCTTACAAGTAGCTTGTGGTTGTACAACTATGTAGTTGTTGCAGAATTCAAATCATACACGGGAAAATTTAAATATACTTTAGTTTACGATTTTGGTAAATCCTTTGACGATTCGAGTAGGTCTCTCTTCTCTTTTATTATGCTTGACTTTCTTGTTATAGTTTTACATTAAACTCTTTCATCGCGATGATTAGAATAAGTTAAATTCAATTTTTAAACATTTAACATAAACTTACTTTTTTGGTGAAATTCGTCGTCGTTGTATTGTGTTTGATGTTGAAATATACCTAAGTTTGGCGATTTTTTTAAAGTTCGTGTACTTTTTTTCTTTCTCATTGTAAATAATTGTAGATTTTAGTTTCTAGTTCCATTCAATTTTGTTCATTCATTACAATTCTGTGTCAGATTCGTTTTGTTGTAATGACTAAGCTATACGTATAAATTACATTCGATCAAAATTCAATTTTAAACGTTTAAATTTAGCTTTTTTAAAATTGACTTAGTATTTGATATCGAAATATATTTCAAATGCATTTTTTTTTTTTTTTTTTTTTTTTTTGGACATGTACCAAACCTATTATATTTTTATGCAAATTTTCGTTAAAAATTTTCGTATCATTTAAAAACACTCACAACTGCCCAAATTGGTCAGAGAGTTTCTCCATTGTTTGAAAAATCATGTAAACGTAGATTTTTGACAAAATCGATCGACTTTTGATATCCTTTCGAGGCTTCCTCTTCTTTTAGTCTCCTTCGACGAGATCCCGGATGTTGGAAATTACGCGGAATGAAAGTTCTCGCGAAGATTTTTAAATACGAAAGTTCTAATACCAAAGCTGGTAATATTTTCTGCCCTCGTTTCTTAGGGAAGTTACTCGCGCCTACGAAGCGCGAGCAAGCTGAAGAAGACGCTGAAGCCTCGCTCTTTATGCTAATCGAGTTTGAGAAACACTGGTCTAGTGGTTTACTCAGTAAATACGGTCTATAACATAGAAAGGAGGCTAGACCATGCTTACTGGATGTTATCTTTTCTTTGCTCTGCCGCGGGTAAGCCGCACGAAAGTTCCGCGGACTTTAATTAAGCAGAGAGACGCCGCAGAGTGATTAATGCCAATGATTTGAAAATTACGAACGCGCGCCTTACGAAATTTCTTTCTTCTTTTCTCTCTTTCACCCTGTTTAATCCAACGTACGAACGAATTCAGTTGAAATTTAAAATAAAATTTACGTCGTTCGTTGTTGCGCAACGCCTATCGATGAGTTAATAAAGCTGTTGAAAATACAAGTAGCTCAACTCGCGCTGAAGCCGTTGCTATTAATAACACGTTCGGAAAATAGTGAAAAATTCAACATGGATGGAAGCGGTTTGTTTGTTAGAGAAACAAAGCCGAAACGAATTTTTCCACAATTGCGTGAATAAGTAAATTCGAAGTGAAATATCTATCTAGCGATGAAAGTTTGTCAAGAATCTGTAGCAACATTGAAGATAAGTTCTTTGCAATTTCGTGGGAAAACGTTCGAAATAAATTCAGAGCGTTTAAAAATAAAATTCGTAATGATAATGTTTGGAGTGAACTTCCTATAATTTCGATTCGACCATCATCGAATTTGATTCTTTTTTGTAGTTGCGTAGGAAATATTCAAGATAGATTATATTACGTGAAAGAATGTACAAAATTTTTTTGTAATATCGTAGAATCAACATTGGAATTAATTGTCTTATTCGCAGTATTGTCAAATAAATGGCTAGAATCTTAGAACTGAATTTTTTTTATATTGCTTGATTAAACTTTCCACGATATTCTTCTCCAGAATATTAGAAAATAAATATTCGAAGTTGGAAAGATATTCGATGATAATTTTATTAGAATTCCGTGGAAAAATATTCAGAAGAAGTTTCCCTATACTACAAAAAGAAGAAGTTTCCCTATACTACAAAAGGATATTCGCTGAATTTTTCACTGAACATTGTCAAATATTTCAAAATCTTAGAATCGAAATTCTCTCCGATATTACCGTACGAAAATATTTGTCGATAAATTCGAAATCGAATTCCGTAACTGAGAATGTATTGAAGATAAATTTCATAAAAAAAAAGTATGAAATAAATTTTTTTTTTTTACAGACAAACATTGTTCAAATTCTTCATAATATTATAGGAATAAATATTCCACGATCTTGAAACTAAATTCCTCGTAATATTGTCATAGGGATATGCAAAAATATTCATCGAACATTTCATAATCGAATTCCGCAGCAAGCTAAATAAAATAAATTCCATCTTTATACGATAGAAAGTTTCAACTTTGAAATTCCTGAAATTTTAAATTTTCAATAGAAATTAGAAATTTACCAAAATTTGACAGTATTATTTTTGTGGATAAAATTATAATTATATTATTTATTTGTAATTATATATATATACTATATATTACATATAATTTATAACAATGTCTATACATATAAATCTTTCATTAAAAACATTCAAATCTTCTTCA